GTACTAGTGTTTGAATTCAGAGCTTTGGACTTGGCAGGAGGAACTCTTCATTTGAGTCATATCCCATCCCTTTTTGCCTTCATTGCTTTTCAGTGGAGTTTCACTTGCTCAGGCCAGCCTAGACTGCAGTCTTTTAGTTTTGCTTCCAACATAGCTGGGATAACAGGCATGTACCACCACACCCAACTTCTTCCTTTGAGATAGCATTTTCCAGACTTTCATGCCTGTGCTGGCCTGGAACCATGATCCTTCCAATCTCAGCCTACCATGTGCTTTAGGTTGCTAGTCGTGTTCCACCATGCTTGCTTTACTGTGCCTATCTGTGTTTTTTCTGCTTTGGCTAACTTCAAACTGCAGTCCTTTCCATTTTTTAGCTTCCCAAGTATCTAGGATTAAGAGTGTGAGCCATGGGCTGGGAAGGTGGCTCAGCACCACTTAAGCAGAAAAAGTTGGAAGTGGTGCTATAGCCCAAGTGGTAGAGTTCTAGCCTTGAGCTGAAGAGCTGAAGGACAGGGCGCAGGCCCAGAGTTCAGGCCCCATGACTGACCAAAAAAAAAGAGTGTGACCCATTATGCATGACTAGATTCATGCTTCTTTTGTTTAAAATAGACTTAAACTGGGCATGATGATATATGCTTTTATTTCACCTGCTTGGGAGGCAGAGGTAAGAGGATCTCAAGTTCAGGGCCAACCTGTGCTTTATATAGAGTTTGCCTTAAATAGACAAAAGGGGGGGGAAAAAAGAGCAGGCCACAGGAGATTCTATTAGACAGGCTGTTTAGAGAAGTGAAATCAAGGCTAGATCTCTAAGGAAGTAGGATTTATATAAGGGATGGGATGGAATTATATAGGGGATGATGTGAAGATTTGTATAAGAAATGGGATGAGGGGCTGGGAAGGTGGCCCAGTGGTAGAGTGCTTGCCTTGCATGCATGAGGCCCTGGGTTCGATTCCTCAGCACCACATAAGCAAGAAGAAAAAAGCCGGAAGTGGCGCTGTGACTCAAGTGGTAGAGCGGTGGCCTTGAGCTGAAGAGCTGAGGGAGAGCGCCCAGGCCCAGAGTTCAGGCCCCATGACCGGACCCAAAAAAAAAAAAAAAAGAGAAATGGGATGAAAATATGCCAGCAAGAATATGGTACATGGGAAAGATGGTTAAAACACCAAAAATGATATAATGTGTGAAATGTGTAGTTTCTTACACATTTGTGCTTCTTAGTCTTACCTTAGAGGATATTACTTGTCAGTGTCAGTAAGTACACATAGTAATAACCACTATATATGAGATTGTGGGAGTTGAGAGGTGTAACTTGGTAAGATGTGCATGCAGTACCTATGTCATAGACATTATTTATAGTGCTGTTCAGTAGTTTTAATTGGTTATATGGTTGAGAAAGCACTAAAATGTTAGTATTTATATGTCTGCCAATACGTTTCTTTTTCAATAATATAGTAGTATTTAAGGTTACTTGGAGTTAGCTCTAGCTTTTCAGTTGACTCATTATTCATAGTATTTGTTCCTCCATGATTTTCTTTGGGAATTGGATTGGGTTACTTTATCTATAAAGTTCTTGGAGTTCTTGGGAAATAACACCTAAATATAAATATCATTTATTATTTATATCATTTAAATCTTGGTGGAAAAGTCTCTTGTTAATGTAGTATTAACAAAATTGGTCTTCTCCTTGCCCAGTGTATAAGTTCATCACCTCTGCAATGATGAACTTGAACCCTCATTTCTGTTTGATATAGAAAACTTACCAAAAGGAGATACCTTTTCAATATTGATAAATTAGGTGAAACCTATGTTGTTGGTCTTGTTTGTTTAACTTACTATGACAAGCTTTGAAAGAGGAAGTTTCTCTCTGTCTTGTCAACCCATGCCACAGCTATAGCCAGTCATTTCTCAGTGGATAAAACCATTTCTTAGGAAACACATCATTTAAGGGTGAGAGGTGAAGGAACTCTATCAGAACTTGGCTTATTGTAGTTTTAAGCTACAGCTCCTATTAGATATTGAGTTTCTTTATTCACTTGGTGAGAAGAATTAAAAACAAACAATGAACTATAGAAACAAAGCATATGTTCTTGATAGTATGGCTGCCGATGTTTAAGAAACATCCAGAAATAAGATTTCCTGTGAAGTATGCTTTGCTTGTATAGTATTCATGCAATAATTGTTTCTATTTTCACTTTTCCTTTGCTGGATCCTTTAAATAAAAGACAAGAGGGAGATACCATGGACTTAGAATGATCATCAAGAACTGTGAGCATTGGGAGGTTATGAGACTTTGTCGTTTTTATTATCTTATTTGAAAGGTTCCTGGGCTCTGGATCCTTTGGAACTGTAGAAGAGGAGAACACATGTAACGTTTTTTCTGCTTTTTTCTAAAACAAATAAAAAGTTTGGTTGGAGATTCTGGGCTCCCAGGTTCTCAAAGAACCTGCATCAGCTCTCACAGATTCTTTGAACTGATTATTAATTGGCAAGAGACTGTCTTTTCTCTTCGTTGAATATTAAAAATTATAAAGTCAGTTATTAGTTTGGCTTTGTAGTTTCACTTTCTGAAATACACATGTTCACGCTATTTTTACATTTATTTTCAGATAACACCAGAAACACTTTTCCAAATCAAAAAGTCATACAATCTTGCTGGGCATTAGTAGCTCATGCCTGTAAACTAGCTACTTGGGAGGTTGAGATCTGAGGATCATGGTTCAAAGCCAGCCCGGGCAGGAAAGGCTGTGAGACTCTTACCTCCAATAAACCACTCAGAAAACTGGAAGTGGCGCTGTGGCTCAAGTGGTAGAACACTAGCCTTGAGCTGAAGAGCTGAGGGACAGCACCCAGCCCAGAGTTCAAGCCCCACAACCGACCCCCCGCCCTGGGCTGGGTGCTGAACCTCAGTTCTTCAGCTCAAGGCTAGCGTTCTACCACTTGAGCCACAGCGCCACTTCCGACTTTTTTCTTTTTGCTTATGTGGTGCTGAGGAATCGAACCCAGGGCCATGCAAGGCAAGCGCTCTACCACTGAGCCACCTTCCCAGCCCCAAGTCATATAATCTTAATAGAACTAACATAGTGATGTAGATGTGTATTTCTGAATTTATTTTCATTCAGACCTGAGAAAAACAAAATACAGGTTTAGTCAGTATTTTTAGCTGTTTTAAACAACTATAGGATTTTCCCAAGAGTTATATTTTTAAATTGTCATCTAAATTGTCTTAGTTTTAAATGTCATCATACTTTTTTTCCTGCTTTCAGGTAGCCTCTCACACTCCATTAGTTTCAGGGAATAGATTTGTGCTTACAGTCACAGTGTATGATTGGGGCATTATAAAGTGTTGGGATAACATGATATAGATGTTAAAAACTGAAGGATAATAACAGTGAATTCAGAGTTCAGAGGGCAAAGTGACAAACACTACTGAAACTAAATTGCTAGATCTTCAGGCATACTTCCTAGCTGCCATGGCCTGGAAAGGCTCCTTGCAGAAAAGCAGGATTCTCAGTGTACTGTGAGACAAATTTTCCCATTTGTGTTTTAGCCAAAGGCTGTTTTCAGTTGTACAGTGTATGTGGTCTTTGGGTTTGTGTTCTATGATTGCAACATGAGGAAATACGTTCATTTAGTGTGATATTTAATGAATTTGAATTAACGGTTTTATAGTTTTCTTTTTTTTAAAAAAATGCATAATTCTGTTGGTATGACATCTAGAAGATGTATGGTCTTTTGTCAGTTAGATAGCTGGTCTTTTTTACTATCTTGTATGAAGTAACAGTTTTGGAATTAAACTTAAAAAAAAAAAAAAAAGAAGAAGTGTCTGTTGAAAAAGTGCTTGCTGACATCATCTTTCCCAGAATACTAGTATATGTGATTTACTATAACAAGATCTTAGTTTTTCCTGTTGGCAAATGACATGTAATATTTACAGAGGTCTTGGGTTTAGTCCAACAGAAACATCTCAGATAAATTGATGTGTGAAATGAAAGTCATTTAATGTTTCCTTTCATATAGAGATAGTATAGGCAGATTTATTTTTTTAATTTAAAAGAAGAGAAAGTAGATATGCAGTGTAGATTTCTTGAGGGGAGCCATCATAGTAGGATATATTCTCAAGAATTAAACATCAAACATCATTTATTTTCAGTTTCTAATTGTTTTATACTTCTGATAATTGTATATTTAATATTCTAAGTTAATATTAATCTTTAGGCTGAGTGCTTTTTCTCTTGTATTTCTTATATAAATAATACAATGTCAAGTTTTCAAATACTTAATTAGCATAAATTCTAAATCTATGAGATTTTTTCTTTGTAATAGGTAAAGTTCATCATTATACAGAATACCTTGATCAGACTCAACTCCTTGGTCCATTATTCTCTCATCCATCCTTTCCCCTTCCCAAACCAATCTCAAGCCTTATTGTTCTATTTTTACACATGTATATAAAGTGTTTTTTTATGGTATTTTGACCATATTCACCCTCCTTCACCTTCTCTGTTCACTTCCTCCCTCTCACTAGTACTACACAAGACATGTTTCACTTTCCTAACATTTGTTTTTGTGAAAGTGCATGCTAATTTTTCAGAGGGGCTTCACCATGGTATTATTTCAACTACCATATGATGTATGGTATCATTTAATATACAGTACATTAATCAGATTGATTCTCCCCTCTCCCCCAGCTGCCTTATTTCTGATTCTTATTTCTAGGAAGGCTTTATTTGTTCTACTACATTTCCCTCTGGGTGAATTTTTAAGTTACAGTAGCTAATGTTCTACAAATGTAAGCATTTCCCTTCTCACACCACAGTAACAATATTATATTTTGACTTCCTTACAAAAATAAGGAATAATTTAAGGTTTGTCTTTAACTTTCCTGTGATGCTAATTTATTTTTGCTTTGTTTTGTTTCACCTCATGTAAAAATATATTAAAACATATAAAGACACAATGACATTTGCAATGATGATTATAGTTTGTCATTTTTTGTTTTCAGATGATCATAGTCGTGTTAAACTGCAAAATACTGAAAATGATTATATTAATGCCAGCTTAATTGACATAGAAGAGGCACGAAGGAGTTATATCTTAACACAGGCAAGTAGTGTGATACTGTACAGATGCCAGAAAAATAAAGGTTTTTGTGGTCATTCTACTTTAAAACATAGTTGAATATGTATCTTGACTCTTGAAAATGAAATGCTCTTTCTGTTTTTCCTGGTTATCATTTGGCTTGTAAACATAGTTTTTGAAGCTTGAATATGTAAAGCAAAAAGCATAGTTTTTATGATAATGTGTTCTCTGAAAGAAACTCGTATGAAATGGCTGGGTCAGTTGTCTAGGACGATTAGCTTCCTTGCTTTTTGTCTGACACGAAGCTTTTTTTTTTTTTGGCTGTTTTATTAATTAGCTTCCAATTATTTTCACCAAACCTGTGAAGTATATCATGAGGTCCTTGAAAGCTGTTCTGTACTCTTCTCTTACATATATTCTCGAGACTGACCATGCCTTACATAGTGTTTCGCTCCTCTACAGGGTATGGTAAGGGCGAGGAGACCATGTGCCCCTGGGCATAGGCCAGAGTACCCTTTGACCTTCTGCCCAATTGGTTCTGATCACATCATCACACCTATAGTCAAGCACTATATTTCTTCCATTCTGAGATAATCGCAGCTGCTCTTTATTAATTATAATAACACTGTCATTTCTCTTTTAAAAAATCTTTAAGGATTTTAATTTTTAATTTTTTTATTTATTTTTTGATCATGGGGCTTGAACTCTGGGCCTGGGCGTTGTCCCTGAGCTCTTCAGCTCAAGGCAGGTGCTCTATCACTCCAGCCACGGTGCCACTTCTGGTTTTCTGGTGGTTTATTGGAGATAAGAGTCTCGTGGACTTTACTGCCAAGCCTGGCTTTGAACCACAATCCTCAGATCTTAGCCTCCTGAGTGGCTAGGATTACAGGTGTGAGCCATTGGCGCCCGGTAGATTTTATATATATATATATATATATATATATATATATATATTTTTTTTTTTTTTTTTTTTTTTTTTTGGTCCGGTCATGGGGCCTGAACTCTGGGGCTTCCGCTGTCCCTCAACTCTTCAGCTCAAGGCTAGCGCTCTACCACTTGAGCCACAGCGCCACTTCCAGCTTTTTTTCTTTTTGCTTATTATGTGGTGCTGAGGAATTGAACCCAGGGCCTCATGCATGCAAGGCAAGCGATCTACCACTGAGCCACCTTCCCAGCCCCATTTTAAAATAATTTTTAAAGCCACAATATTTGAGATTCTCTATTAAACCTACCATGGATTAGAAATAACCTTCTTTAAAAACTGCTTGATATAGTAAATAGTTTCTCTTTTTTTGTGCTAGTCCTAAGGCTTGCACTCAGCCTGGGAACTGTCCTTGGGCTTTTTTCAAGGCTAGTACTTTACTACTTGAGCAACAGTTGGGTGCTTAATTGGAGAAAAGAGTCTCATGGACTTTCCTGCTGGAGCTTCAAAACCACAATCCTCAGCTTTCAGCCTGAGTAGCTATGATTAAAGGCATGAGCCACCAGCATCCACCATACAGAATTTTTTTTTTTTTTTGGATCCGGTCGCGGGCCTAAACTCTGGGCCTGGGCGCTGTCCCTCAGCTCTTCAGCTCAAGGCTAGTGCTCTTACCACTTGAGCCACAGCGCCACTTGCGGCTTTTTCTGCATATGTGGTGCTGAGGAATCGAACCCAGGGCCTCATGCTTGCAAGGCAAGCGCTCTATCACTGAGCCACCTTCCCAGCCCCACAGATTTTTTTTTTTTTTGGTTCCGGTCATGGGGCATGAACTCTGGGCCTGGGCACTGTCCTTCAGCTCTTCAGCTCAGGGCTAGCGCTCTACCACTTGAGCCCCAGCACCACTTCCGGCTTTTTTCTTTTTGCTTATGTGGTGCGGAGGAATCGAACCCAGGGCCTCATGCATGCAAGGCAAGCGCTCTACCACTGAGCCACCTTCCCAGCCCAGAATTTTTTTTAATCAATTCAAAACTATTAGACTATTTCTGTTCCACAGGAAGCTAAAATTAATTTTCACTTTTAAAAGCTTTAGTAAATTAAAAAAAAAAAAGAAACTGGGGAAAAGGACATCAGTGCACATTTCAATTAACAAAAAATGATAGACAAAATACACATAAAAGATACCCCATTTTGGGATAATTGGGGAGTGTAAATCTAAATCTGTAACCTTTCATCTATCACAACAGCAAAGACTTAAACAATGAGTCCCAGTCGCTGTGCTACTACTGCCATTTCTTACCCCTCTATGCTGGAGTTTTTAGTCCCTGCTTTTCTGCAGCCTGTGTCTTTGTTTTTTTGTTTTTGTTTTTGTCGGTCGTGGGGCCTGAACTCTGGGCCTGAGAGCTGTCCCTCAGCTCTTCAGCTCAAGGCTAGCACTCTACCACTTGAGCCACAGTGCCACTTCTGGCCTTTTCTGTTTATGTGGTGCTGAAGAATTGAACCCTGGGCCTTGTGCATGCAAGGCAAGCACTCTACCACTGAGCCACCTTCCCAGCCCCAGCCTGTGTCTTTGGATATGTCTATTATCCAGAATGTTCACGCTTTGTCTTCTTTAAACCTGCTTCCTATTGGCTCTGAGAATTTTTTTTCATTTAAAGAAACAGCAGGAAGACCCTTACTGCTCTCCAAGGGAGTTCAGATGATTAAGATAAAAGTAAATTAACAAAGATACCTAAGAAAAAAAATTCCTGCAATGATATTATAATGAGCATCCAAAATATTGGAGAAGCATTTCATTTTCAGTATGACCAGCACAAGAATATGTGCCAATTCTGGTAGAGAGTGGTCTAGGAAAGGTCAGCTGCAGACTCACCGAAGCAGACTCACTGAGCTTATGGCTCACTGAAATTATTATTATTATTATTTGGGGGGGGGTCCATTCATGGGGCCTGAACTCTGGGCCTGGGCGCTGTCCCTCAGCTTTTCAGCTCAAGGCTAGCGCTCTACCACGTGAGCCACAGCGCCACTTCTGGCTTTTTTCTTTTTGCTTATGTGGTGCTGAGGAATCAAACCCAGGGCCTCTGGCATGCAAGGCATGGGCTCTACCATGAGCCACCTTCCCAGCCCCTCACTGAAATTATTTAAGTTTGAATTTTCTTGACATGAGGAGAATATCCCTTCTCTCCTCACAAGTTTATAAACATCACAGTATCTTTTAACTTTGGTCTACTGTAATGCCTTTGTGTGGTAAAATTACAAAACCTATAAAAAATAAAATGGAGCAAAAAAATTAAGTGTATACTATTCAGTGGTCACATACCCTAGTTGAGAGAGTATGGGAGACATACCAGTAACATAAAAATATGTACACATGTTTATTACAGCTTTATTTATATGCATAGGACTGAAATGGGCTAAATGAATTATATGTCATTAATGGTGGTCATTTAGATTGGAAGTAGGAACTTCATTTTCCTGATTCCAGTCTTTATTTGATAATGTTTTCCTTATATGTGTTTACTATTTTGGTGGGGTTTTTTTCTGTCTTTTTTAAAAAATAAACCTATATTTAGAGCTACACTTTTATTTTATTTTATTTTTATTTTTTGCTGGTTGTGGGGCCTGAAAGGGCCTGCGTGTTGTCCCTCAGCTCTTCAGCTCAAGGCTAGTGCTCTACCACTTGAGCCACAGCATTACTTCTGGCTTTTTCTGCTTATGTGGTACTGAGGAATCAAACCCAGGGCCTCATACATGCAAGGCAAGCACTCTACCATTGAGCCACCTTCCCAGCCCCAAGTTTTAACTTTTTTACTTGAAACAACTTTTAATATGAAAATAAAGAAAGAAATAGTGGTTAGATTTTTAGTCAGTTTTGAGAAATGTAAGAAACCCTTTAAAAAGAGAAAAGTTTCATGTGGCTCACAGTTTCAGAGGTTTTCATCTCCATTAATCTTACCAGAGATCAGCTTCTACTAGCTATTCCTCATCTAGTCCTCATCTCCCAATGATGCATATTTAATAATGCATAATAATTCATATTAGAATCCATCAAGGATTAATCCATTGATTACATCAGAGTCCTCAGGACCCAATCATTTCTCAAAAGCCCATCATGAGTTGGCAACCTGGCAACCAAGCTTTTAATATATGAGCCTTTTGGAAGTGGCGCTGTAGCTCAAGTGGTAGAGCGCTCGCCTTGAGCTGAAGAGCTGAGGGACAGCGCCCAGGCCCAGAGTTCAAGCCCCACGACCGACAAAAAAAAAAAAAAAAAAAGATTTAAGCTTAATATATGAGCCTTTTGGGGATACTTTGTACCAAATTATAGCAAATGATTATTTAGACACTGTATTCTAACCTTTTCTTCTACCACTTTTTGCCAGTATCATTTATTGGTAATGCTTCTTAGTGTTATATGTCTTTAAGATTCTAATTTAGCTCCCTCTCCCCTCTACAAATTAGTTCTTGGAAACATGGTTTTCAACTTCTGTAACCTAAATTGGGTTAGAATCTGGTCTCCTGCCCAGGCTGGCTTCAAGCCTTGATCCTCAGATCTCAGCCTTCTGAGTTGCTAGGACCAGTGGCTAGGACCACTGGTTCCTGATTTATTGTCTACTTTTTAACTTGGCCAAATAGCTATTGAGGCTTCACATAGTGTGCTTCTGTAGACTAGTAGTTTCATAAATTAGTACTTCCCAAGATTTTTTTCTAGAAATCTTACTGTAGTTGACTTGTGTTGGCAGGGTAACAAATTCTGTCACAAATGTCCTCTTTTTCCCTGAATATTCTATGATCTATGTGAGAAGGGGGCCTTTCTTTCTGCTGTAAAGACTGAAGGAGATTAGTGGCTATAACCTCTGCATCAATCATGGCCAACCAGATGCTCCCATTGATAACTTTGACCCTGCTTTACTTATGTTTGTTTGGTAGTGTCACAAAGACTGACAAGTAACAGGGCCAATGACCCAAGTTGAATGTCTTTAGACAAGAGTCTTGTACTTTAATTCTTAGTATCTATAAGGGCCTACTTACATTCATTATCCTAAATAATTCCCTTTTATCTAATTTTTAAAAAAGTCTATAATTTTGAGACTGTTTACAGTCTGTATTTTTGAGTTCAGTGGAATTCAGGTGTGGATTATCTTACTAAGATCCAGTTTTGTTTGGCTATAGTAGTGCATACCAAGAACATCCTTGGAAAAGCTTTGCCCCAAGCCATGTTCTTTTCTAGCTCCTTTCCCTCATCTGCTTCTTTTCTCTACTCCTCACAGGGTCCACTTCCTAACACATGTTGTCACTTCTGGCTCATGGTTTGGCAGCAGAAGACCAAAGCAGTTGTCATGCTAAACCGAATTGTGGAGAAAGACTCTGTGAGTAGCATTTAATATTTGCAATTTAGCATATTTATGTGAGCATTAGCTTGTTGGGTTTTTTTTTTTTTTGGTATTTTGTTTTTGTTCTGTTGGTTGTTACCTTCTGTAGGTTTAGGTTCCTTTTTTGTTTTTGTTTATTTATTTATTTTTGGGTCCGGTCATGGGGCTTGAACTCTGGGCCTGGGCGCTGTCCCTCAGCTCTTCAGCTCAAGGCTAGCGCTCTACCACTTGAGCCACAGCACCACTTCCGGCTTTTTTCTTTTTGCTTGTGTGGTGCTGAGGAATCGAACCTAGGGCCTCATGCATGCAAGGCAAGCACTCTACCACTGAGCCACCTTCCCAGCCCTCCTTTTTTGTCAAATAAGCAAATTAAAAATATTTTACTAAGGTTTCCTCCAGTTTTACAGTCTTATACTATTCTTCAGATCCTTGATTCTTAACATTTTTTCCCTTAAATTCATAGTTGCTGGTTTTCAGTGTTGCTGCAAATTTTCCTATCTGTTCTGAATCTGAAGTAGCATTGGCGTGTCAGAATTTCCAGTAGTGTCAGCAGAATGATGCATAGTGTTTTTTCATGGTCTCAAACTCACATAGAAATTCATCAGGGGTGATATCAGTTTGAACAGGAATATAAATTAGATGATAGTAAATTTTATTCATCTCTCTTTGAAGTATATTACTTTATTAATGGACTAAGACTACCACCAGAATTTAGAAATGGATGGATTCAGAGGCTTAAATTTAATTATTTTGGGATGGAGTCCTTTATGGATAGTATTTTGTTCATCAGTAGACCCATAGTGCCCTTTTTTTTTTTTTTTTTTTTTTTTTTGTGTTGGTCCTGGGGCTTGAACTCAAGGTCTGGGCTCTGCTCCCAAGCCTCTCTGAACTCAAGGCTAGCACTCTGCTACTTGAGCCAAAGCACTACTTTCTGAGTAGTTTATTGGAGATTAGAGTCTCACAGACTTTTCCTGTGAGTTCTGGCTTGAACTGTTACCTTTAGATCTCAGGCCTCCTGAGTAGATAGGATTACAAGCATGAGCCACCAGCGCCTGGCCACAGTGTCTTTTTTATTTTTATTTTATTTATTTATTTTTTGGGTCCAGTCGTGGGGCCTGAACTCTGGGCCTGGACACTGTCCCTCAGCTCTTCAGCTCAAGGCTAGCACTCTACCACTTGAGCCACAGTGCCATTCCAGCTCTTTTTTATTTTTAATAACCTTTAAAATGCATTAAATGCTCACCTCTTTAATTCATTAAAGACAAATAGTGTTTTTTTTGTTGTTGTTTGTTTTGTTTTTTGTCGGTCATGGGGCTTGAACTCTGGGCCTGGGTGCTGTCCCTCAGCTCAAAGCAAGTGCTCTACCATCTGAGCCATAGCATCACTTCTGGGTTTCTTGTGGTTAATTGTAGATAGGCTTCCTGCCTGGGCTGGCTTTGAACTGCAGTCCTCATATCTCAGCCTCCTGAGTAGCTAGGATTATAGGCATGAGCTACCAGCACCTGGCTTCAAATACTGTGCTTCTTTTTCTGGTATTATTGGGATACTCCTGTAGATGCTGATTTTCTGTTTAGTTAACTACTTTTATGCACTACAGGAAAAGCAGTTTTCAAAACAGCTTATTCCATAGTATTTTTACTAGATCTTCAGATAGTTTTGTTTTGTTTTGTTTTTAATAGTGAGTAAGGAGAAGGTCTGTTAGACATTTAAACATGTATTATTAATTTCACTCCTTTGCCCCTCATCCTCAGGAATAAATCATTCTTTCATTGGCTAATAGAAGTCTTCTCAGGTAGATCCTTTTAACATAAAACTGAATCTTTAATAACTCTGCTGTCCTCTGGAATGACTTCCAGTTACAGGCTCATCTTCAAGTCTTGCTATCCCAGACCTGGAACCACCATTTCTTTAAGGAACTTGTTTCTTCTAAAGAACAATGGTATCTCAAAAGAACTACAAAAACAAATATAGCATAGCTTACACATTGTTTTTAAGGAGTTTTCAGTGGACATAGCTAGAGAAAAATATATGTGTAACATACCTGAAGAGCTCATACTAATTATTTCCAATTCAGATTGGAACTTTACAAGTTAAACAGATCTGCTGCTTTCTTTTATCATATCAATGAATCATGATTTTTCAAAAATATCAGGGATGAAGGGGTGGAGAATATTTTATTTATCATGCCTTATATCACACAGAAAACAATCGTACCACATTTTTAAAATGTTTTTCCCATTGTGTGTGTGCGTGTGTGTGTGTGTGGTTTTGTTAGGTGGTACTGGGGTCTGTTACTCAGCCTTGTGTTGCCAGGCAAGCATTCTATCTACATGAGCCAAGTTCCCAATTCCTCACCAGCCCCCATTTTTAATTATACTTTACCTGTATTATCAGAGGCTATATATAACATACTGTAATCTCTCCTTTACATCTCTTTAAGTCTTAGTTCTACGTGTAAATATAGTTGTCTTTTTTATCTGTGAGAGATTAGTTTCAGGAGGCTTGGCCAATATCTGTTATATAAATGACATAGTATTTGAAGAGAACTTATACACATTTCCCCTTGTACTTTAAATCATCTCTAAATTAGTTTAATACTGAATATGATATAAATAATAATCAAACTTTTAGGAAGTAGTGATAAGAAAAATAAGTGGTACATATGTTTGTACAGTAGTGGCAAGAAAAATAAGTTCAGTACAAATGCATTTTTTTTCCTGAATTTTTTTTCATTGACTTGAGATGGCGGGCAGTTTGAACTCATGAATAGGAAGGGCCTAAAAAGGGGCTGGGAAGTTGGCTCAGTGGTAGAGCGCTTGCCTTGCATGCCTGAGGCCCTGGGTTCGATTCCTCAGTACCACATAAGCAAAAAGAAAAAAAGCCGGAAGTGGTTGAGTGCTAGCCTTGAGCTGAAGAGCTGAGGGACAGCGCTCAGGCCCAGAGTTCAGGCCCCACGACTGGACCCCCCCAAAAAAAGAAAAAGAAAAGGAAGGGCCTAATAAATAACATATGTGTTAAAAACTGACACTATGCGTTCTTTCGTTTCCTTAATTTTCTCTTTTAATATATATTTCAAAACCTTTTTCTTTTTTAAAGTTATTAAGCCATTGTGCCAGGTGGCTCATACATATAATCCTAGCTGCTCATGAAGCTGAGATTTGAGGACTAAGATTCAAAGCAAGCCTGAGCAGAAAAGTCCATGAGATTCTTGTCTCCAATCAACCAGCAAAGTGAGCAAGTTGAGGTGTGGCTCAGGTGGAGGTGTGGTAGAGTACCAGCCTTGAGTGAAAAAGCCATATGAGAATGTGAAGCCATGAGTTCAAGTCCCATTACCACCACATACAAAGAAACGTTAAGTCCTGGTTGTTAGTATTTCTTGTTTTATTGCTTGCTTTGGTGTTCATCTTTGGGCCCTTCTGAGTATATACATTAAGTTTTCTTTGTTATATTTGTCTTATCTAGAATCTACTATTTATCTCTCTTCATTTCATTTTGTTTACTATTTGTTAATTTGTTTTTTGTGTGTATACCGGTACATCAGATAGAGTGATGACTGTTTTCAGGTTTGCATACTTGAAAACACGTAATATGTATAGCTGAGGTTTGTTTTCCCCTTTTTATGATCTAATATCTACAAACTGTACTTAAATTTAGGTTAAATGTGCACAATACTGGCCAATAGATGACCGAGAGATGCTGTTTGAAGAAACTGGATTTAGTGTGAAGCTCCTGTCTGAAGATGTGAAGTCATACTATACAGTACATCTACTACAATTAGAAAATATCAATGTAAGACTTTTTTTGCCAAAAGATTGGACTTTATATGATTGTTTTAAGAATTATTCCTCATTGGATTTGGAGTTGAATACAGCACATACAGTTGGATAATACCTAGTCATAAGAATTTGTTTTTAGATTGTATTCTTGTTAAAATTCTTTTAGGACTTGCAGGAAATCCCAAAGTCCAGGGTTATATTTGAGGTTGAAAATTAATTAAAAGTATTTTGATGCTGGGTGCTGGTGCCTCAGACCTACAATCCTAGATACTTAGGAGTCTGAGATCTGAGGACACATTTTGAAGCCAGCTCAGGTAGGAAAGTATGAGAGTCTTTGTCATCAAAAAAGCCAGAAGTGGAGCTGTGGCTCAAGTGATAGAATGCTAGTCTTGAGCACAAAAGTTCAAGAGACAGTGCCTAATCCCTGAGTTCATGCCCCAGGACCAACTCACACACACACACACAAACACACACATTTATATATACTTATATATGTGCATATGAATATATGCATATTTGTGTGGGAGAGAGAGGACAGGATTTATAGCTCAGTGGTAGAGCACTTGTATAGGCCTTGTCTACTCAAGGCTATAGGTTCAATCCTTACCATATATGAAAAAGAATAAATTGCTGAAAAGCTTGGAAATATAGCTCAGTTGTAGAGTGCCTGTCTAGCATGTTTAAGTTTTGGGTTCAGTCCCCAACACCAAAAGACACACACATTTAGGAATTAAGAAAGGGTTTGAGATGGGTATCTATGCCTTGTGTGATTTTAGCTACTTGAGATACAAAGTTTGGGAGGATCATGGTTTGAGGCCAGGCAACCTGGGAGAAAACATATGAAGCCTCTTCTTAAACAATATGTTGAGCAAGTGGCGCTGTGACTCAAGCAGTAGGGCACTCGCCTTGAGCTGAAGAGCTGAGGGACAGCACCCAAGCCCAGAGTTCAAGCCCCACGACCAATCCTTCCCCCCCCCCCCCCCAAAAAAAAAGAAGAAAAAGAAAACCAGTATATGTTGAGCACACATCCATTATCCTGGCTCTATATGATACTGAGATCAGAGAATCATGGTTTTATACCAACCTTGGCAATAAGTCCTCAGGACTCCATCTCAAGGGAATAGTATGTACATTTTAGATATGTGAAAATACTTTTTTGTGTGCTTGTCCTGGGCTTTGAACTCAGGACCTGGGTGCACTATCGCTAAATTTTTATGCACAAAGCTAGTACTTTACCACGTGAGCCACAGCTCCACTTTCATCTTTTAGTTTTTTGGTGGTTAATTGGAAATTAAGCTCATAGTCTCATAGGCTTTACTACTTTAGCTGGAACCTAATCCTCAAATGTCAGCCTCTTGAGTTGCTAGGATTACAGTGATGAGCCACAGTGCCTGGCTGGAAATACTTTTCAACATTTATCTCAGAAGACACCTGGTAAGAACACCTAGTAATGTGCTAACCTACAGCAAGCACAAGTGTATACTGTGCACTTATGTCCCAGGTCTGGCTTCTCTAACACCTATACACTTATTACATGATTTTTGTGTTTGAATGTGTTAATAACAGGGCTTGAACTCAGGACCTTGAGCTACTTTGGCTTTTTATTTAAAGCTGGCAGTATTCTACTTGAGTTACACCTCTGCTTCTGGCTTTTTAATGATTTAAATGATTTTCTGAGTCACCTAAAAAGACTCAAGAATACAATATTATTTATTTTTTGTCGGTCGTGGGGCTTGAACTCTGGGCTTGGGTGCTGTCCCAGTGCTCTTCAGCTCAAGGCGAGTGCTTTACTGCTTGAGCCACAGGGCCACTTCCAGTTTCCTAGTGGTTTATTGGAGATAAGAGTCTCAGGGAGTTTTCTGCCCAGGCTGGCTTTGAACTGAGATCCTCAGATCTCAGCCTCCTGAGTAGATAGGATTAAAAGCATGAGCCACCAGCACCCAGCTAAGTTTTTTTTTGGGGGGGGAGGGGGGGTCCAGTCCTGGAGCCTGAACTCTGGGCCTGGGCACTGTCCCTCAGCTCTTCAGCTCAAGGCTAGCGCTCTACCACTTGAACCACAGCACCACTTCCAGCTTTTTTCTTTTTGCTTATGTGGTCCTGAGGAATCGAACCCAGGGCCTCAGGCATGCAAGGCAAGCGCTCTACCACTGAGCCACCTTCCCAGCCCCAGCTAAGATGTTTTTAAAAATAAATTCCTATTACTATATTTTATACCAACTTGAATTTACTGTGTCATAAACCAGTAAAAATATTAATAACTTTAATACTTGAACATTGATTATACCTCCAATAACACTATTTTTATATTTTATGTTTCACCAAGTTACAAAAGTATATGTAACTTGAACCCACAGTCTCACTGTAAAGTGGGTAGAGTATTTTTAATGGCCATTTATCTTCATTTTTTGAAAAGGTAGGAGATTATAGGAATTTTTTAAATAGGCTGATTGCTTGTCTACTAAGTGACAGACTGAACTTAAATGCAGGTCTTTTAAATTCTGACATGATAAATCTTTTCAAGCAATGCTAATTCTTTTTTTTTGTATTTTTAAAAATTTTTTATTGTAAAAATACTGTACAGAGGGGTTACAATTACATGGGCAAGATAATGAGTACATTTCTTATCAAGCATTGTAGCCTCCTCCTTAGTTTCCTCTTCCCATCCTCTCCCCCCCGCCCCCCTACCCAATCCTCCCTGCTACACCCCCACCCCAAGCAATGCTAATTCTTGTAGATAAAGACTCTTGATTTATGCATTTTTCTGTAGTTGTGGTTATCATGTGAGTTGACCAACCACTGTTTTTTTTTTTTTTTTGTTAGCAGTTGTAAATAATGAGTATACACAAATATATCTGAACCTACTACAATAAAATAGGCAGAGTTTATGTCCTACTTTATTATTTTGATTATCAACTATGAATGTTATGAGTAGGGAAATATTTCATTATGAGAGGTGGGATTGCCTTTGATTACGTTTAGAATCAGATTGCCTGCGTTTAAATCCTGATTGCTTCCTGACTGAGTTGGGTTACTATATTTGACTACAGTACCTCAGTGTTCCCATCTATAAAATGAGAATAGTCAGATATTTACCTGATATGATTGCTTTAAGGATAGAGCCAATTAATATCTTGGCTGTGCCTAACATACTGGGACACATAGTAACTCACCTTCTCTATGTTTGTGTTTCTGTTGTAATAGTAATGAGTTGGGAAAAACCATGGGAGTTCCTGACAATAAAAACAAAAAAAGGGTCTGGGAAGTTGGCTCAGTGGTAGAGCACTTGCCTTGCATGCATGAGGCCCTGGGTTCAATTCCTCAGCACCACATAAGCAAAAAGAAAAAAGCCGGAAGTGGCTCTGTGGCTTAAGTGGTAGAGTGCTAGCCTTGAGTTGAAGAGCTGAGGGATAGCGTCCAGGCCCAGAGTTCAGGCCCATGACCAGACCCCCCTCCCCCCAAAAAAAAAAAAAAAAAAAATCACAGGAGTGACAGAGTCTTATCTACATATCTTTCTTGAAGTACTTTGGCTGCAGATAACCAATTTGCTTCTAAAGGAGTCAAGCTTGTATCTGTTAATAAATTGAGAGCCAACTCTGTCATTTCTAAGCATGCCTCAATCATTTAAGACCTGGAGTCTAATGGAGCAGAAAAGCTTTATACTATGAAGGAAGAGATTCTTTCACAGTGACACTGGGCCTTAAGCTGTAGGGTTTTTAGAGGCTTTTTAAGTATATGGTGATGTAGATTCTTGTTTGTCCTTCATATTTTTGTTTTTATTTGCCCTTTAATATTTTCTATAATTTTGTTGCCCAGCTTTTATGTTTATCAAGTTCCAGGAATACTATTATAATGCTGACTGTCCTCCATTTCATTGTCTCTATAGATTTACCCGAAAGAGGATGAGTGTCTATAGTTATTATGATGCTCAACTGGGATTTGATTCAAAGTAGTTTAAAAAGTTCATTCCAGCCAGAATGTTTTCTTTTTCCTCTCTTCTCAGCATTTTTCTGTCTTACACATACTAAAGTATCCCCTTGTGACCCCTTTCTTACTTAGATCTTTTCCTCGGGTAACTATCATAGATTCGCTTCTAACAACAATGAATCTTCTTACACCTTTCTTTGTGATTAAAGTTTACCATTTTACTTACTTGTTCAGTACTTGAATATGTGTGTATTTTTACTCCATAGCAAGGTTTTCAACATTCATGGGTAGAGTTCTTATCTTCTGCCTTTATACCAAGCTCTACACCTGAATGACTGTTTTAAAACCTAGATGTGATCTTCCTACCATGTGCTAAAATTCCTTCTCTGACTGAGTCAGATATAGAAGAAAGGCCACATCCATTGACTGCCTAGCCCAACCTTGCTCCTTGTCAGCCTTTTCCTTGTAGGCATCTCTTGTTCCTCCTTAGATGTCACAAATAGACGAGTTCCTAGGGAACCCTGCCTTTGCATATTGCTTTTCCCTTTGCTTAGAATGTAAACATGTACATAGCTATTCCTTCACTTCTATCTTGGTGAATTCTGTCTATCTTTCCAGATAGATTGTAGTCAGTAACTATCACTGATAATCTTATGATCATGGCAAAAATGAGTTACCTATGGCCTGAACTAAGGCAGTAAGGATGCAAGTACAGATTTCATATCTGATTAGGGGATAAGATTGACAGGTGTTTTTTACTTTTTGGGTATAGAACTGTTCAGTTAAAAAAAAAAAAAAGAAAGAAAAAAGGGGACTGGGAATGTGGCTTAGTGGTAGAGTGCTTGTCTAGTATGCATGAAGCCCTGAGTTCAATTCCTCAGTACCACATAAACAGAAAAAAACAGAAGTGGTGCTGTGGCTCAAAAGGTAGAGTGCTAGCCTTGAGCAAAAGTAGCTCAGGGACAGAGTCCCAGCCCTGAGTTCAATCCTCAGGATTAGCCATCAAAAAAAAAAAGGGTTGGGAAGGTGGCTCAGTGGTAGAGCGCTTACCCTTCATGCATGAGGCCCTGGGTTCAATTCCTCAGCACC